GATCTTTGATTCCCAAGGCTGCACTGGGAATTGGTGTCACCAATTGGTGTCACTCCTCACCACTCCTGAGGAGTCATTGGTGTCACCCCTTGTGACCTTTATACTCCCAACACCCCCGCCACCATGTCCATGGTCTTCTAAAGGGTTCTTGGTCCCTGTCATAGCCACACCTCTCTCCCCTGAGCCTGAGCCACTTTGTCACAATCCCTGATAAATGCACCCAGAACTGAGCCCAGCACTCCAGGTGTGCTCTGAGGTAGGCAGACCAGAGGGTGATTGTCCCCTCCACGTTCTAGATGTGATGCCTTTTAAAATGGGAATCCTGGTCCTGCTCACCCTTTTGGTAATTGCCTCACTCAGGTCAACACATTGCGGTCTCCTAATCAAGCGGAAAATATCCAAGCCATAGAAAGCATTTTTTCATACCATTATCAATGGTTTGCTTAAAACTTGTCCTGCCTTCTTTAGGACAGTGGTCCTCAAACTTGAACATATATCAGAATCACCTGGAGGGCTGACTAAAACACAGATTGCTGGACCCCACCCCAGAGTGTCTGACCCAGTAGGTCTGAGGTGGGCCCGAGAATTTGCATTTCTAACAAGTTCCCTCAGGTGATGCTGGTGTTACTGGTCCAGGGGCCACACTTTGAGAACCACTGCTTTAGGGACACGCTTTCTGGTGTGACTTCGCATCCACAGTCCATACCAGTTCTTGGGGGAAAAAATCAACAGCTGTTGCCTCCAAGCCTATTTTCGATTATTTATTCCTAGAGCTCTGACCCACTGGTTCTGCCTGGTGCCGAGTGAGTTGTGCTCCTTTCAGATTTACTCCGATGTCCAGGGCTGGGATTCATTGCTCCAGAAGCAGGGAGAGTTCTTCCCTTAAGCAATCTCAGCCCTGTGAGCTGGCCCTGAGGACCCAGCTTTTAAGGACACAACCCTTCCTAATCTCCCTTCTAGCAGCACTCAGGGCCCCGCTCATGGTCTTCCTCACTCCACTGGCAGCCCTGACCCTCCCTTCTAGGTGATGGGGCAACCTTCTTCTCTGTCCCTTCCCTGCCCATCAGCACCCATCTCTCCCCCTTCATCCCAGGATGGCCAGGGCCTTTCAGCAAATCAGACTCCTGATGGCTGCCTCCCTGGGCCACATGTGCAGATTAGGCCCCAGTGGGACTCTGGCTATACTTGAGTGTGTGTGTATGTGTGAATGTATTTTATTTTCTTGAGAATTAAGTGTCACTCCTTTCCAGGAAGAACATATTTCTGCTTTTATAGTAGAGGTGAATAAAAAATAGGATTCAGTTTGCTGAAATGTGGTTTTTAGCAAGGTGATAAAAGATATTGGCCCTGTAAAACAGGAGATACCTGCAGTACCAGAATGAAAGAAAAAAAAAAAAAGGTGTCTTTTTTCTAACTTACTTAATAATCTTTAACCAGTGCAATGAATGATCCTTCTAGCCACACGTAAGAGTGTGGATTTTTTTCCTTGTGAGGTAGTCAATTGCATTATTTCTTTAACATGCATTGGTTATTTTAAAATATCATTTATTACTGTGTTTTTCCATTTGCTTTCCCTAAAAAGGTCCATTAGAATAAATGCTCAAGCTGAGCAGACTTCTTTGTGCTGAAATTATGGTCACTGAGTGCCTAATGTCACCAACCATCTGTTCTGACCTGTTCTGGCTCATAAGCCTTAGGAACTGTCCACATCTGGCAGGATGCAGCAGAGCCAGCCTGGGACCATTCAGAGAGCACTGGCCTGGGAGTCACACCTCAGTTTCCTCATTTGTGAAATTAGGGGCAGAATAAGGTGACCTCTAGGGTGTTTTGGTTTTGTTTGTTTCGAGTTCTGACTGCCTATAAAATATTTTTTCTGCCGTTAATTATATACAGCTCTCATGCACACACTTACTCACAGATAGATACTCCAAGCCACTGACAGCCTTGATGCTGTGTCTTATGCCTGGAAATGATCATTCCAGCTTTTAAGCAGTGTAAAGAACTTTAGAATTTCCAAAGCCATTCCACATCCTCAGTGTTTTTGCTGGGCCCTGTAAGTTATGTACTGTATTGCCCCCATTTTATAGGTGAAAAGACTGAGACTCAAGAGAGTTCAAGTAGTTTCCCTAGCTTTGGGTGGCATGGACGTGGAGAGCCGCGGCTCAACTGTGCATGCCTTGGTAGTCTGTGCATTGGCTGTGTTGCCTTCCAGCAGGGCCGAGTTTGCACATTTTCTGTGTTTAATAATTGTTGTTGCTCCACAGCACCCTCATGACACACAGAACTAATAATGGAACCCCACCTGCATCCAAAAAGGATTTGAGGGACTTCCCTGGTGGTGCAGTGGTTGGGAACCTACCTGCCAATGCAGGGGACACGGGTTCGAGCCCTGGTCCAGGAAGATCCCACATGCCGCGGAGCAACTAAGCCCGTGTGCCACAGCTGCTGAGCCTGCGCTCTAGAGCCCACGAGCCACAACTACTGAGCCCGTATGCCTAGAGCCCGTGCTCTGCAACAAGAGAAGCCACCGCGGTGAGAGGCCCGCGCGCTGCAATGAAGAGTAGCCCCTGTCACCGCAACTAGAGAAAACCCACATGCAGCAACGAAGACCCAATGCAACCAAAAATAAATAAATAAATAAAATTTATTTAAAAAAAAAAGCAAGAAGGATTTGACGCAGCAGAAATGAACTGTAATGGCAAAGCCAACTTGTTTTTCAAGCAACTAGCTCCCAATCTTCCATCAAAATAGAGGTAAAAACTAAGGATGGACAAGGCTCACCCTGACTGCAGCAGTGTCATTCTTTTTACAAAACATTTATTGCAGAGTATTTCGAGCATTCAGGAAAGCACAGAACACCAAACACCCATGGACTAGCCACCCAGGAGTAATGTGTTCACGTTTTGCTCTATTTGTGTCATTTATCTTTTAAAGAAATGAAATACAGCAGTTCCCACTGAAACTCCCTTTGTTCCCCTTCTGTGGTGGTGGCTTCCCAGTGACCATCCTGTGACATTCAGGGCCAAATTATTCAAAATGTTTTGATACATACATTGGGAGGATCCACCACTTGTTGAAACAAGAAGTGCTTTTTTTTTTATCATGGTAAAATGTACATAACATCAAATTTACCATTTTAACCATTTTTAAATTTACAGTGCAGAGGCGTTAAGTACCTTCATATTGTTGTGCAAGAGGCACCACCCGCCATCTCCAGAACTTGCCATTATCCCAGACAGAAACTCTGTACCCATAACTCTTCATTCCCCCATCCCCCAGCCCCTAGGAGCTACTGTTCTCCTTTATGTCTCTATGAATTTGACTACTCTAGGGACCTCATCTAGGTGGAATCTTAACAATATTTGTCCTTTCACATCTGACTTATTTCACTTAACATAATGTCTTCAAGGTTCATCCATGTTGTAGCCATGTATCAAAATTTCATTCCAAGGCGGAATAATATTCCATTGTATGTATAAACCACAACTTGTTTATCCATTCATCTGTTAATGGACATTTGGGTTGCTTCCACCTTTTGCTCTTGTGAATAATGCTGCTACGTACATGAGTGTCCAAATATCTCTTTGAGTCCCTGCTTTCAATTCTTTTGGGTATATACCCAGAAGTAGAATTGCTGGATCATATTACCATATGATGGGTAATTTTAACAGTGCACAAAGGTTCCAGTTTATCCGCATCCTCATCAACACTTGCTGGGTTTTGGGTTTTGATAATAGCCACCTTAATGCGTATGAACAAGAAGTGCTCTTAAAGATCATCTTCTCTTGAAGAGGAGGAGACTGAAGCCCTAAGAGGGAAAGGGTCACACAGAGAGGCCGAAGTCACAAGCAACTCAGTGCCAGAGCAAGACCTGGAACTTGGGTCCCAAAACTCCCACCTGGTTCTTTCTACTAAAACACACAGTCTCATTTCCATGGCTTTATGTCAGAGGGTATAGAGTCTGGACATGGGCCAGATACAGATTTCAAATTTATTTGTTTTGGTCCTAACTTTGTTTTTTAAAACAAATTGAAAATAATATCAACATTTTAAAATGTGGGAGATCCTGTATTTTAAAAATCTAGGGACTTCCCTGGCCGTCCAGTGGTTAAGATTCCATGCTTCCATTGCAGGGGGCACAGGTTCAAACCATGGTTGGGGAACTAAGATCCCACATACTGTGCAGCGTGGCAAAAAAATAAATAAAAAAAAAATCTGGATTTCTGATTTCACTCCCCCAAAATCAGAAGGCCTGGTGACTCTGGACCAACATTCTGGCATAGCATGTTTGGAGCTGAGCAGCAAGTGCCATCTTTAGGTGAGGCATATAGTCACCAGTTTGCCACAGTCCCCACCGCTCCCTAGTATCCTTCCACACAGGCTGCTTCACACATTGGCTAGTTGGTGTGAACACTGGAGTTTGCAGCTCTCTGCTTTCCAAGCACATAGATGTTAGTCATTCTGTGTGTCAGCAGACACATAGTTATGTTTAACATCTCAGGCTGATTCCATACCCCCTTACTCTCTCCTGTTTTACTTTGTCTATATGAATATCTCAGCTATTTCTTTACCCTAGAAATGAAGTAATATTGCAAATAAATAATGCAAAATATAAATAAAGAAGTATTTGAATAGTCTGATTTGGAGACAGCGTGATGTACTTAACTAATCTGATTTGGAGATAGTATGAAACACCAGCATGAAACTCCAGAGACTTGGATGCTTGTCTTAATTCTTCCAGAAAATTCCTGGGCAACTTTAGTAAGCCCATTCCCTGTCTGGCCTCCTTATGCCTATGTGTCAAGTGTGGAGTGGGACTGGGAGATCTCCAAGGCCCCAGGGGGCACTCTAGTTTTTAATGAAGGTAAAACCTACTCCTTTTGTGCGTTGATGGAGAAAATCACTTTGCCCATTTGAGCCACTTCCCAGGACAACCCCTCTGAACTGGCCCTTCCTGTGGCCGCCAGCACACCCACCCTCTGCTTTCTCTTTGCTGGCAGGTGAGGAACGACCTGACCGGGGTTCTGTATGGTGAGGACATCGAGATTTCAGACACTGAGAGCTTCTCCAATGATCCCTGCACCAGTGTCAAAAAGCTTAAGGTAGGTGCAGCTGGCCACAGCCCAGAGGACAGACTGACCGCATGCTCCTGGGGTTCCCCAAATCCCCTGACTTTGAAGGAGTCTCGAATTCAGGCTGTTTCACTTCATCCTTGGCATCTGACATATGAGGAGAAGCTCTCAGAAGCTGGCTTCCCTTGGCTGTCCCCAGTGCTGGTTGTCCAGCACTGGCCAGAGGTCTGATTGCCAGGTGTACAGCCATGTGGAGCTTGCTGGGTGATTCTGTATCTCTCAACCCAGCCTGAGAGGCAACCAGGGCGCAATTATTATCATGTCTGTTGTGAAGAGGCTCAGAGAGAGTAACTCTCTTGCCCAAACCCACAGCAAGGAAGTACTGTTGTTGGAACTGAAAGCTCAGCCTCCTGACCCCCTCCAGTGACACTCACTCCAGGAACAGAAGGGTCAACTAGATGTTTGCCCAGTTGTAAGTAGTTCCTAACTGTCATCTGTCCATTCATTTCCCAAACACCGTGTTTGTGCCAGACACTCTCCTGGGCTCCCAGACACCGTCAGGCCTGCCAGTGTCCTCAGGTCACTCAGAGCTGGTACGGAAGGCAGATACCTCTCAGGGGAACCAGGAACCGAGGGGCTGGGGAACAACGGGAGGAAGTGACTCATCCCTCCCCGGGGAGGATTCAGACAAGCCTCCACCACGCCATGGAGGATGGGCAGGAATGAGACCTGCAGGGTGAATATCAAAGGGCAGGACAGCCATGCTCACTGTGCACTTGGGGTCAGCAGGAATTCCTGGAGGCTGGAGTATCCGGGCGGGGCCGTGGGAAAGATGCTGAGGCCGAAAACAGAATTTGGAGCCAGTTTCCATGAGCCTTGGATGTTGAGCTAAGAAGTTTGGTCTTTTATCCTGAGGGCAGTGGGGAGCTGCTGGGGGATTATAAGAAGGTACAGACATAGTTAGAGCTGTCACCGTCACCTTACTCTTCCATTCGTCATGCCCACATTGAAAGTCTCCTGAGGCCCCAGATGCCAACTGCTGACGTGTCCCTTCTCTCTTGGGCTGGTCCCAGGTTATACCAATCAGAGCGGGTGGCAGTTTAGAGCTCATGAAGCCCTCAGTTCACATATGGGGAGATGGGGAGCAAGGGAGCAGAGCACCCGTTGTTTGTCACCTGCTCAGGAGCAGATACCACATCTGCATTGACATCTCAGCCCTGGGAGCCTCTGCAGATGAGGAAACCGTAGCTAGGGAGAGCCTGCTAGCAGCCTAGGTGTCTGGGGCTGGATCTGCCCAGCTCTTCCCCCACAGACGATTTGCTCTGACGGTGGAGTCGGGCTGTGCAGAGGCCCGGAGGATCCAGAGGAGTGGAGTGCCTACTCTGCAGGGACTACTTGGGGCGGGGCTGGGGTGGACGGGGCTCTGGTGCTGCACTGACATTCTCCTGCCACACGCAGTGTCTCCCCAGGGTGGGCACTGGAAATAGTTTCCTGCACCTCAGAGACCCGGCAGAATTCTGTGGGCTTTAAAATTTAAAGAGCCTTTATGTGTGGAGCAGATGCATTAGTTGAAAGCCTACAAGAAACTGGGGATGGATGGAACTGGGTGCTCTGCTCATCAGCCAGCCAATTCCAACAGAAGCAGGAGTGATATGAACGCTGATGGGAACAGCAGCCGGCCTTTCCAGTGCATTGAGCAAGGGCCAGGCACCCCTGCAGAGCCCTTGACCTTCACTTGCCCATTCAGCCCTCCCCAGAGCCCTGGGACAGAGAGAATTTTTGTATCCCCGTTTCATATATGGGGAGCTTGAGCCTCAACGAGGTTAAGAACTCACCCCTAGTCACCCAGCTGGAAAGTGGTGCGTTGGAATTCAAACTCAGATCTGGGCAATGCCATGGTCCCGCTTCTCCACCACCCCACACAGCTGCGGTTCTGAGAAAGGATTCCAGCATCACATAAGCCCGGGAGAGCAGAGCCAAGGACAGCATGCTCAGGCTGTTGGCAAAGGATCCCCTCTGTGTGGAGTGCTCTTCCCCCAGAACCTGCATGGCTCCTTTTTGCATCTTCTTCTAGTCTTTGCTCAGTTGTCCCCGTTTCCCAGAGGCTTTATTTAAAATTTAAATCCCTTCCCCTCGCACTCCCACCCCCGCTTTCTGCTAATTTTCTCCATTTCACTGATGGACATCTGTATCAGTTTCCTGGGGCTGCCATAACAAAGCACCACAAACTAGGTGGCTTAAAACAACAGAAGTTTATTCTTTCACACCTTGAGGCCAGAAGTCCAAGGTCAAGATGTCAGCAAGGCTATGCTCTCTAGCAGCCTTGGGGACTCTTCCGTACCTTTCTCTAAGCTTCCAGTATCACTGGCAATCCTTGATGTTCCTTGGCTTGTGGCTGTATAACTCCAGTCTTTGCCTTCACTGACATTTCCCCCTTTTCTCTTAACATCATCTTATTAGGACACTAGTCATGTGGGATTAAGAACCTACCCTACTCCAATATGACCTTATCTTAACTAATTTCATCTACAACAACCCTGTTTTCAAATGAAGTCACATTCTGAGGTATTAGGAGTTAGGATTTCTACATATCTTTGGGAGATACAGATCAACCCACGGTAATATCTGACCTCCCATTCATTTTACCCAGTTGTTTTGTCATCTGTCTCCTCCCATTAGGATGTAAGCTCTAGGAGGCAGCAGTTTCTGTCTGTCTTGGTCACTGTTTTATTCCCCAGCACCTGGAACCAAACCTAATTTGCTCAACACATTTGCTGAGTTTGTGTAAACAAAATACCAAGTCTGGACAGACAAAGCTAACAGAGAACACAAGGCTAAAATACTCAGGAACAAAGAAAAGTAACTTCTGGAAAGCTTAGAGAAAAAGCAGATCTCTGGTTTGCTGTGGGATAAGATAGAGAAGGAAGTACAGAGGACAAGGAAGAAAACTAAATAGCAACTAGCAGAATTAAAATCTGCATTGGAGGTAGTAGAGAGCAGAGTTAATGCCAAGGAAACTAAAACTCTTGAATTGCTTTGCCAGAATTCAGAGGAAATGGTCAAAGAGATCAGTCTAATGAGAGGAAAGATAAGTTATGGACACTGGAGTAGGGAGATCCTAAGGGAAAACTGGACAAATGAAACAGAATCAAAATCAAAAACAAAACAGGAATCTCAGTATCAACAAGCACAACTACCACCCAGATCTTGGTTTCTAATACCATTCTCCATGAAAAGGAACCAGGGCTCCTTGGAGAAATGCCTGACTCTAGGACTGGGGCAGGAAACATACAAGATGATCCTGGAACAGCTTGTAGTGCCAGAAAGTTAAGGACGTGCTCAAACCACATCAACAACACACACTGATGGAGGTGTGTCAGAAGAGTACAGCAGCCGACTGAAAGAGCCACTGAAAGAGCTCCCAATGGCCAAAGCTGGGACATTTGAGCAATAAAATAAAAGTGGTATTGGATTATAACCCAAAGTATAAAACAGATACCCATGATTGAGTAAGTAAATGAGAGAGAATAGACAAATCTCCTATGCCAAAGAATTCCAAATAATTTATGTAGATATTTCAGGCCCAAGGAGGTAGAGCAGAACTACCCACTTGTTAAGTGACTTCCTTCCAAAGAGCACAGGATGAAAAGGGGGGAAAAGAAGAGTAACTTTAGAGTGGAAGAATCTGACAACTACCTCAACCAGGTGACCAAGGTCAGCATCAACAGTGATAAGTCATGTTGATAGTATGTACATTTGATATGATGTGGTGAGAAGGGCACTTTACCTCTGTGTTCTTCCTCCCCAAAACCTATAACTCCAGTCTAACCATGAGAAAAACATTAGGTAAATTCTAGTTGCAGGCCATCCTGCAAAATACCTGACCAATGCTCCTCAAAACTATCTAGGTCTTCAAAACTAAGGAATGTCTAAGCCAAAAGTAGCCTACAGAGACATGACAATGATATATAATGTGGTATCCTGAATGGCACCCAGGAATAGAAAAAGGACACTAGAGAAAAGAACTAAGGGTATCTGAATAAAGTATGAGCTTTAGTTAATAATGAATTGATATTGATTCATTATTTATAACAAATATACTATATAAACATAAGATGTTAATAATAGGGGAAACTGGGTGAGGACATATGGGAACTATATATACTCTCTTTGTGATTTTTTCCGTAAATCTAAAACTATTCTCAAATAAGAAGTTTACTTAAAAAAAAATAGGTGACAAACTTAAGTGGGCTCAAGAGAGATCTACTAGATTGGACCATACAAAATTGCCGATATTCAACCATTTTGAAATTACAAAGTCAACAGTTTCATAAGGAAATGTGCAGACTGTATGTGCAGTCTAGCTGGCCTTTCTGCATTCTAGCAGAATTGGTGAATAGAGAGTAATACCCAGACACATTTTGTCAGAAGTTTTGAAATACAAACAGAAAGGGGAAAATCTACAAGTATCTAGCCCAGAAAAAAACAAATTTCCCACAAAGGTGCAAAACCAGGCCACCTCGACTCACTTGCAGCATTCAATCCCAGAGATGATGGAGCAGCTGAGAGACATTCTCCAATGTGTGAGACTCACATGATGTACTACTACTAGCCAGTGCCCTTCTTGAAGTTAATCTTTGAAGTCCTTTATCAGCCTGCCGAGAACGATAGCAAACTTTATAGCTGAGGTCATGACAGAAGCAGGTGAGCAGGGATCACAAAAGCCTGTGGAGAGAGAGCTAAGTGGTCATTATAAAAAGTTGTTATAAAAGTGTATGCAGATGCAGAAATTCATTTTGAAAGCAAATGTGCAAATACATGCAATGCAAATAGATACTGTAATAACAGTAATTGAAATATAAAAACCCAAATTCCATTAACAGAACCAAAGAAGTGAGTAAAAAAAAAATTGGGTGCTAAACTCCTGGTCTTAAGTAGGAAAGGGACTCAAAAGAGACTATTTTGCTTATGAGTTTCATAATTAGAAAAATATAAGGTAAAAAAGGCTTTGAATAACTTAACGGTAAATA